ATGTACATGAATATGCATTATTAAAATTTAAAGAGGATTTGAAGACTGGAAAAATTTGATTTATAAAAATATACGAAAGAATGAAACTGGTTAGTAAGTTAGTAGGTTTTTATGGTAATCCATAATTAGGAGCATGCAACGGTTAACATGCGAAGAAATATTTGCCTAATTTGTCTGGTTTGGTGTTTTGTAAATTTACGGATAGCTATTTGCAGCGCAAATTAACTGAAAAAAATAAAATAAAAAGGGAACTTGTTAATGATTTTTTATGGTTCCCAGCACATTATTACCCAAATTGGTTTTTCGGTAATGCCCATAGGAAATCGTAAATGGTTACAAAATTAGCAAATCCAAAAGTTAAAAAAAAATAGCAAAGAAGCAGTCAGTATTTCAGCTCTAAGCTAGTTTCTCCAACTCAACTTGACTTAAATAGTTTAGCCAATTTTTTAGACTTAGTCAAGAATAAGCTGTGTAAAAAGTAGGCTTAGGGTGCGTTCAGAAATGCATCAAGCCAAAGCATCAGTCTCTTTTACTTCTAAACTACAACTGATCGAAATGCCTTATTTACGCAATTACGTTCCAATTAGGCATTTAACCGTGGTTACGCATATTGGACATTTGCATCAATTATAGTTTAGAAATAAAAGCATCTGATGCTTTGGGTTGATGCATTTCTGAACACTCCCTTACTTTTGACTTAAGTTCAAAAAATGGGTAAATTAAGTTAAGTTGAGTTGAAGAAATCAGCCCTTAATATTTTTGTGGATTCAATGCACTTATGACTTAAATATTTAGCAACGATATTTCCCAAGGTAACTGAGTGTTATTTATGGTTTTCTTGTTTGGTGGTACCCAAAATATAAGGATCCGTTGGCCAAGAAAAAGGTGAGAGTGCCAAATTTTGAGTTAGTGGGAAACTTGGGGGTATTCCTAGACACTCTCCGCGTTGCGTTAAGGCTAAGGGGGGTTTCTGAAGCAATGCCTTTCTAGCTGCCGCAAGAGAAGCAGCTTATCGGACGCCCGCAAAAATATTAGTCGTCAAGAATGTGAAAATTTTGTATACAAGGTGACTAGGTCAGCACACAAGTAAAAAATAAGCCGTCTAAGGAGCTTCCCTAGCTAAATAAACCACAACTCTAGTTTCAAAGAACAATTTTTAAGTACAGGTATTAGTCCAAGTGCGAGTTTCACCATAAAAGGAGACGGTGCTAAACTAATAGAGGAATGACATATGTACATACTATGGTGATTGACTCGGTTTTTCCAAACCGGTTTCCACCGTTTTTGATACCAGAGCGCACTTGTGCACAATTTGCAAATTTGGCAAACCCCAGATTGATTTTAGACCTCTGCTTTCTTTGGAAAATTTGCTAAGAATTATACGTAGAATCCTCCTTTGCTGCAGGCGCATAGTAAAACAAAATTGATTCGTCGTAATGCATATGTTGATGTATATATATGTTTTCAAGGATAAAATTTTAAAAGAACATTTTAAATACTTACCAGACCGTCTGCACCAAAAATTTGAATTTGTTTAAATTCTACAGGCTTTCCTTTTTAATTTGATACCCATACTTCTTCTCTAAGCACATTTCTCTGAATTTTTTAAATCATTTTTGAATTACTGACGTCAGAGTGAAAAACTAAAAACGCAATTTTACTCTATTTGGCCCATGGTTTCGTAAATATATTGATATTTGTGTTTAAAATTTACAATCGCGCGGTGTTATATGTATAATGAGCTAGACATTTATAAAACAAATTTAATTAGTAAATAAAAAAAGAATTAGGGGCAATACTGGACAAGAAAAGGAGTTTCTATTATTGCCGTCAGTGCAAATTACGAATCCCGAAAATTCCGGGATTTTTGGGACCTTAAAAAGGCCGGGAAACCAGGACTAACATTCCTAGTACATGCACATTATGCATAACCAAAATTCTTTTGAAGCATCTTTATATTATACCTGCAGGGTGGCTAAAAATTAACCTGCTTCTTGAGTATCTTCGAATGCTGTGTGCTGTTGATGTCCTTAGATAACAAATTAAAAATGCTAATGCCGTTCATATGTTAATTAGATTTGTCTTCACTTTCATTATGCTATACATAAAATCAAGTTGTTATAAATTTATGGTATATTTTCCAATATTTAATTCTATGGTTCTAAAGATTTTTGGCTGGTTATATTGTTATTGTTATTGTTGACATTTTATTGGAAACGTGCGCACAAATTAAAGCAATCAAGTTATGACGTGGGAATTTAGTTTTTATGTCTATCGCATGTGGCTTGTTTTTAGACATTTTTAAAGCTAAGAAAAATTTCGTGTTTTAAATGTTTTTTGTTTTTGTTTTTTTTGTACAAAATCCATAAAAAATATGATTATTTTGTAGATATGCTCATTATGGTTGGGTTTCGTTTGTTTGATAAGAAAACAAATTTATACAAGAGCCCAAGGTAACGTTCGTTCTGGGAAATCACCATACAGAAATTCCGAGAAACTTTTTTTCAGACCTTTTTTAAAACGTAAGGAGGAGCCAATGTCAAGTACATATACTTTTCGTCAAAAAACAGTATGTATGTTTGTACATGAATTCCATCTAGGAATTTATACTTATTGTAGGCTGGTGTTGTTTGTCCTGAAGATGTCCGGACTTTGTAAACAACGATTTTAATTATGGAAAATTCTATCAAGTATCAATCTAACGCTGAATCGGATCTTGGTTAACAAATCGATCGAAGAAAATTCGGTCTAGTGGCATTATCTAATGATTGGCGGCCGCTGTGGTGTGGGGGTTGGCAGTACGCGCTTCCATTCCGTAGGGCCTGGCTTCAAGCCCAAGTTCTGACTAACATCAAAAAAAGAAAAGAAAAAGTTATTTCTAATAGCGGTCCCCCCTCGGCAGGCAATAGTAAACCTCCGAGCGTATTTCTACTATGAAATCAGCTTCTCATAAAAATACAATCGCCGTGGAGAGTCGGCGTAAAACTGTTGCTTCCCCCTCTTTCTGTGACAACAGCAATGGCGCGCGCCACAAATTATTGTTAATGATGATTCATTTAGTTAGCTAGTTAGTTACTTTTTGGGTGTAACAGAACAAGTGACACCTCGACCTGAGAGGTTTTTTTGTATCTCTGTAAAAGAGAGTCCCTAACCGGGTGTGACCAAGATACCTTCGGCTTCCCAAATGAATCCCGAAAGGGCCTTGCTAGGCGAATTCTGTGTAGCAAAGTGTTCGACCATTGAAGATTTAAAATGGATCAGTCTTTGTCTGGCCAAAGTTGCTCTGAAGTTTCAACATCCTCAAGGCAGGAACGGCATTCCGAATCTGCGATCACATAGATTCGGTGCAAGTGGAATCGCAATCCGGTTGTGACCAGTCAGGCACCCAGAAAGTAGCCTGATGCCATTTATATTTTCTAAAATAATATCCTTTATGCTGAACGGGTAGCCGAAGAGCCTGGTTTGTCTATGGCCCCCACCGCTCCCCAGTACACGCTGCATTCTGAGTAAACCCACTTAGTATTTATGGCTCTCGAAGAACACCAACTGAGACCGCAGAATGGTTCAGGTCCCGAAAACGCAGTTATCGATCCTTCTCGTGCCAACTCGTCGGCGATCTCATTGCCTTCGATGCCACAATGGCCTGGTACACAGCACAGTGTTACTGTGTTTCGGGCTGCCAACATTTGTAGCGTGTCAAGGCAGCCTCCAGTCACATTGGGTTTCATAGTTCTGTTTGAAAAGATAACCAGAAAGACTCCCTTCAACCATTTTCAGTGTTTACTTTTGAGAAGTTTCCGAGAATTGTTCAGTGCTAGGTTCAAAAATAGCTGCGCCTCCTCCATCCTCCATTCTTAAACCGTCTGTGTACCAGTGTAAGTATCTTGAATCAAGTGTAGGGAGCCCATTTGCCCAAGCTTCGTGATGATATCTTTCGTCATGGAATGAGAGAAGCCGTGCGATTAATATATCAGGGCATCGAAATCACGGAAGCAAATTTTTGTCCCGAAAAGTCAAGAATTCCACCGCATATTCTACGACCGATTATTGTCAATAAAATACCTCTGAGCACCTCTAGCAGTAATTATAACTGCACGCCGTTTGTTGGATTTGCATGACAAAAGAAATTGTTCACCTCCCTCTAGAGTTTTATATCTGTCATCGACCTACTCCCGTTCTACGTATATATGTTATATGCCTGGGTTATAATGGAAGTAACGAGACGGAGTGAATAGTAATTTAACTATCTTATGCATTTGAAATAAAATTCACGCAAAACGCTGTACGAAGGATCCCAACATTTAAATTTCAAAGAAAGAGTACTATGGGTTTTCTTATTTGTTTTGTGAACTTTATTTTTTTTAGAAGTTTTTGAATTTCATGCAACCGTTGCCCTGTTTTCAAATAAAATTTTTTGAAGCGAGTTTAGAGATGTTTGCTTTAAAAATTTAGCGCCACGGAGAAGGTATTTTGTGTAAGTATGTACCTTAGGGTGGTCCGAAAACAGTAAAGTCGGAATTGTAATGCTCTCACCCCCTAGGATTGTTCTATATCGAAGAAAGTATACACCTATTTTTATATTTTGAAATCATAAACTATTAAGACTAACTAAGATGAAGATAAAGCTAAATATAAAGATACAGATATGGATAAGGACAAAGATGAAGATGAAGATTAAGATAAATATAAGGTTAGGATTAAGGCGAAGTTTCACTCTTAGTTTTTTACTTTGAAATGTTTTTTTTTTAGTGACTGCTGCATTTCATTATCCTTTTCATGGCTCACTTAGAAAAAACACCAAAAATTTATAATTTGATTTATTGTGAAATTAAAAAAATGGAGTACCATTAACCCTTCCGCATTTCGGAGAAAAACACAGTTTTTTATTTATAGTTTTTTCTTTATTTGTTTTATTTATTTTCTTCACAAATCTTTATATCAATCAATTAATCAACATACTTGAATGATATTGAAGGAAAGTTTCACATACATTAAAAATTATGTAATAAAAAATATTTAAATATACGTACAATAAAACATACTACAAATTAAACATTTTCGCATTAACGCCTTTGTGTCTCATCTTTTCTCCCTAACATTTTGTGTGTGAGTGTGTGTGTGGTGCTAAATGAGTATTTATCGAAAGTTTGAGATAACATAAGTGGATATTTTTTTTCTGCTACATCTTCTTCTTTCTTTCTTTCTTCTTATTGTGTTCCTTCGTGTTTACTTTTTCTTGTGTGTACATAGTATTTTGTTCGATTTACGTAACTTTAAAATTAACACAGCAACGACCTTGAGCGCCAAATTATTTTATGTGGCCCAAATACGGAGTACATTATATCGAAAGGTGTAAGTAAGTAGTTGCCAATAATTACTTGACAGCTCGAAGGTCAGTCAAATAATAAAAGTCTTGCATAATTAGAGCAAAGATAATGGAATGAGAGAGATGTAGATTCAGTTGAAAGGGTAAAAAAGTGAATAGGCATAAAGTGGAGATTGGAGAGTAGCAGAGTGGCACTGTTGAAAACCGTAAAACTAGTTTCGATTTAACTTAGTTTACTGTGAGCGGCAGTTAACGGTAAAAATATATTTACAAATGATAAGAAAATGATAAAATTGAAAGCGGAAATAGAGAAAGTAGAAAAAGAAAGAAAATAAAAAATTTAAATAAAAGAGATTAGTGTAGTAGGCAGTAGTTTTAAAGAGAGGAGTTACTATTACTAGCTAGAGCACAACTCCTTTTTGCCAAGTTAGAACACTTAAACAAAAAAAAAATGAAAAATAAAAAAAACTGCAGTTGTGCCATTACAGGTGAGCGCGCTGACTTAGAAGAAACCATCACCGGTTGGATCATTCACCCATGGGTAGTTGTTCGGGCATCGCACACAAGTCTGTAGGTTGACGGTCTCGCCGGGAATTTCCTTGGAGGTCAGCTTGCAAGTACTAGGCACCCAGCAGGCTGGCTTGCCTTCGACAACGCACTTCTCCCGCCATGGCTCGAAGTTCTTGGCTTCACTGATGGTGCGTGGATTTTGCATCCATTGGATGACCTGTGTCATGGTCACGAAATACACATCATTGTGATTGGCCAAGATCTCATCGATCCAATAGAGGAAGGCATCCAAGAATTCTGGATTGTTCTTCAACCAAGCAGCATGGAAATACAAACCCAATGGTGCACGATTCTGATCGTAGTGCCGATCGAAATTGTGATTGAGGAAGTTATAGAATTGATCACCGGTCAAAATGTTTGAGCACGAGTCAACCATAGCGCAGCCGGGCAAGTATTCATCATTGGCGGGGTCTTCACGACGATCCAACTCATTCATGACCATTTCCCACACAGCATGCGAACGAGTTGGGCAGCTTTGTAGATTGCCATGGCAACGATGTGGCATGCGGAAGTACATGGTGTAGGGCCAGAGTGGTGGATTCGAGAGCGGTGCAGTGATTGTAGAGTCATAGAGGAAAGCCTGCTCTTCCATCATTGTGAATTGATTGTTGCCGCCGACACGCAAGTATGGCGCCCGTACACCCACCACCGAATTGTCAGTAATGTTGGCGTATTTCTCGATAATGATGCGCATGCCAGCCATTTCCTTAGCCCAGTCATCGACGGTGGCGTTCGACCAGAAGCGCTCTTCATCGTTGTGACTGTGGAGAGGGAGAGAAAAGGTGCAAGAAATGGAAGGAAAGGCAATTAATAATTGCTGAAAATTTACTGTTGAGCTACTAACTGATTTCAGTTTCTTAAATGCAAATTTTATTGGTTGATTTTTTTTTGTCTAAGACAGTAATGGAATTATTTTTGCTAGTTGGCTAGTGTTGCTACTATTGGTCAGAGGTTTCTTTTACACTTACGTTATGGAGTGCACAGCAATTTCGTGTCCTTTACGCGATGTTTCTTGCACCGCCGAGTAGTTGGTGTATTTGTGCGAAATGAAGTAGGTAGCCTTAATGTCACAACCATTGGGATTCTTGCGTCCCTTGAAGATTTCCTTGTATAATTCAATGTTGTTGTTGTTGATGGCATCATCGAATGTAATGGTGATCATCATTGGTACATCCTTGGCTGGCAAATCACCGGGAATCGAGGTACCATCCTCAGAGCAGAAGCAATCGGGCAATACGCACACAGTGGGGTCGCAGGGTGGAGCGCGATTTGGATCATTGTCGATATCTGCAAGACAAAATGAGAGCAAAATATTTGCATGAGAAAATAAGTAGATGGGCAAAGGGTGAGGGATACGAGTTTTTTTGACATAGAATATTTGATTAATAATATGAAATTGTTTATTTTGCAAAAATGCAACATCCGAAAGTACTTGGCTGATTCCCTTGAACTGAACAGTAAAAATCGGTTATGACTCACGCCAGAAGGCTTAACATAGCCTACAAGGAATTCTGTAGACGTTGCAGGACCAGAAACGAATAATTATTCTAGACTATGCCAAAGTAGGCCGTGGTGTTGATTTTATTCAGTAACGCTAAAGGTCTGCCAGTAGAAGCAGCAAGAACAAAGAAGGAATTCAGTTAGACAATGCTCTGAGCGTTCTAGCTGAGTTCATTGGAAATATATTTAACAATAACAACGCCCCCAACGGAGCAAGGGAACCCACCGTAATCTATTACTAAATCACTAAAATCTAATCTCGCAACGGCAAGACAGAGTTCAGTAAACGCGTCGCTTGATGTTTTGAAGTTGTATTCCGATTCAGTTTGTTGAATTTTGTAAATAAACTTTTCTTTGTATAAAATCGCGATTTGAATAAGATTTGATCTTCACTTGAGGTCAATGTGGTCCTTGCAAAATAATTCTATACTCCTTAAACTGCTTTCGTTTCAAGAAAAGTGTACCTTGAAGCTGGCGTAAGGTACTACACAAATCCAAGCAGACAGACCGTTTTTCTTTCCTCCAGCGAGTTAGAGAAAACACTTGTTTAAACTCCGATTACAATTTTAGCTTCGCGTATCAAAGCCTGCAATTTCAACTATCTAACGACTGGTACTACACAAAGACGTTTCATGCAGGTAATCTTGGGAAGATGTCAAGGTTAGAAATATTCGGAAATTCTGATTCCATAACTAAAGAAATCTGCTTTGGCAGACAGTTCCAAATGAAAATATACGATCGCGAAGGTTGGGCAAATGGAAGCCAGACTCGGTGCAGATGTCTATGGACCTAGCACCAAACTCGCAATTCCTATGGGCAGATGGCCCACGGAGTACGATAATTAGTGGCGGTAGTTGGCCACAGCCAGTCCGGACTCTTCGACTACTCTTTCAATAAATCGGATGTCATTTAATTAAGCGGTAATTACATCAGGCTACTGTCTGGGAACTGATACCTAACGGGCCAAAATCAACTACGATTTCATATGCAACGAATAGGTGTTATGGCAGAATCGGAATGCCGGCTCTGTCTTGAGGACGAGGAAACTTGCGAATTATCAGGTCTTGGCTAGACAATGATACATTTATGTTAATGCTCCAATGGTTAAACCCTTAGTAATAAAGAGCTCGACTATCAGACTCTTCTAAGTAGAATTGATTACGGAAGCCGAGCGCGTCTTGGGGGCACACAGGCTTAGGAAGATTCAAGAGAACTTTGGGAAGCAGTGTATCTTGGGTTCTCACATGTCCGCGCTTTTAACTATCTTAATTTATCGAAGATGCGAAAAGTGCTTTTTTTATTGCTATGTATTAAAATGTTACAATTTCCGCTATGTAAATCCCTTTTATTTTATTTTTGATGATATTTGCTTGTTACTGGCATTATTTTTCATGATTAAATTTAACACAAATAAATGCAGCTAATTTATTTTTTATCGTACTGCAATTAAACTTAGTTTATCAAATGCAATAGTTCAATGGCCAAGGCAATTTTCTTAATGCAATGGTATCTACATAAATATTTCTGTTTTTTTTTTTTTATTTATTAATAATTTACTGTACAGTTTGGGAAATAGCGGTAACATAAGCTTGTGTCAATGAACTTAACGGTTTGAAAGTGGAAATAATTATTTTTCGTATTTGTTATTCAAACAACGAATCAAACATAATTCAGTCACAAAGCGTGGAAATGCTATAAATTAATAAAATATACTTATACTATACGCACCAACAAAGATGGGTAAAAAACACAGAAATAGAAAAACCTATCTAAAACATAAAAACAAAGTACGGTCTATTACCGCTATCGCTTTTATTGTAGTGAAGAGTGGATCGCCAGATGGCATACACGCGACCAGCCCAGAGCAGGCACGGCGAGGCAGGCAGGCGTTGGTCGCTGGCTGTGACTAAAATACCGCTAGTGACAGCCACAGCACATTTTATGGTGAATTACTTTAAAATGTTGACGACTAATCCATACATAGATCATCACTTACGAGCGGCACGTACATACATAGCTGCGCAAGCGCGTTTGATGCCTACGCCGCAGTGCGTAGAAAACCACAAAGTCATACCTACAAACTATGCATATTTATGTTAAGCCAATAGAAAGGCAAATGATTATACGTACTATGTATACTCAGGTTCGCCCCATCAGCACTGGACAATGAATGCACTTGGTGGCTTGTTTTTCTGTGTTTTTTTTTTCTTTAACTGCCATGCACGAGCCTAGCCGCCAAGTACAAATTTAGTGTTAGCAGCAGTGGTATTGGCAGTGGAACGTGTGTGGAAATTTAAATTAATGCCAATTGATTGGAAAAAATGGCCGCTAAGGAGAATGTTTAGTTAACAAGCGTTTGGAGTTTTAAGTACACACATACATACATTACTATTTATTTATGTGCATTCATACCTTCATGAATAGCTAATTCATGCACCTATAAGTGGCTTCTTCTGCCAGCGGTTTAGCTAATTGTACTCTGGTATGAATGGAAAGGCAATCAATCGCGTGCATTCATTTCGTTGGTAAATATTTGCAACTATTTTGTGAAACTTTAACACGAAAGTGTTGGCTATTAGCTTTTTGGCAAAGGCCGACCGACACACATGCCTCCAGCGCGGTGCGGCGAGACTTCACCTTGTGCGTTGTTTTTGTTTTGTGGCGAATTTACAGTGCTGCATTTTTTTATATTTGTTGGCAGCTGCGTAGCGGCAACTTTTACTTTGTAGCGCTGGCTTATTTATTTGCTATTG